GCTACCGGGTGCCATCGCGCGCCTCCGCAACACGTCGGTTGACGATAATTTGATGGCGCAGCCGACGCAGTACTGCTGGGTTGACTTTAACAAGGCGTTTGAGCTCGCGCATACGGCGGCTCGTCAGCAGCGCTGCCTCGCTCAGTACGATGCCAACGGCGCCGTGTACCTCGAGTCTGTCTTGCGCAACACGGACCGTCATGCTTTTGCGGCCGCGTACCATACTCCTGGTAGTAACTACGAAATTGCGATTCTGCGTGGTCTGGAAGGGACGGTCGCGGGCGTTGAATGGCTTGATGCCATCGCATCGGTTGCGACCAGTGTCGACGAAGAAGTGGCATATTGGCAGCGCCATGGCATTGGCGCGTTTCGCTACCAGTGGCACAACCTCTTTCTGCCGGGTCTTGTCGAGACAGTGACGCTCCGCAATGTGTTTGGTCTGGAGACGAGTGTCATCTTGAAAAGCACCGTCGAGAGCCAGGGCCCTTGGACAACCGTCGTCTTTAGCCCTCCCTTTGTCCTGGATCTGCTATTTGCCGGCCACTGCAACGCGAGTCTTATTCGTGGTACACCGGACGATATCCTCAATACATGGTGCGATGGCCAATCCCCGAGGCCGTTCGAATCCTTTATTGGTCTCAGCCCGTACGAGCGCCACATCGGTGTCGTTCGTGATACGCTGGGACCGTTTCTAGCGATCGATCTGTACATCGTGCCGGTGCTGTCGCCCGTCGGCGCTTTGGCAACCGACCTTATCTCTGCGTTTCACGACACCTTGAATGCATCGTCCGCAGCTTTGTACTCGGCACTTGACGGTGCTTTGGTGGTGACGCCCGTGCCGCCTGCGTGGCCAAGTAACCTCTTGGTTTATGGCGGCAGCCCTTTCTGCACGTATCTCGAGCCTCAAACGTATGTGCAGGCGCCGTTCACATCGACCGACGACTGCACCCGATCGTCGCAGTGGACCGTCCGCATACCGCGGCGCTCTTTGGTTCTTGCTCTGGCACTGGTCAACGACTCGATTGACGTTATTTGTGCACAGCAGTCTCTTACTAGTACAATCTGTGCCAAGACGCTGCTTGCTGCAAAAGAGCTCGCTCCTCGAGGCCACCGTGACTCGACTCTGCTGCAGAACGCAACAGCGGCGGTCGCCGCGCTCAATATTAGCGTCATGCAGTTTGCGTCGGATGTGAGCCAAGCCAACTACTCGTTGCTACTGCAGCCGCTACTGCAGCCACCATTTGCATTCTACGGCTGGATCCTCCTCTTGGACTGGATAGCAGGTATCCGTGAAGTGATATCGCTACAAGGCGACAATGGAACACTTGTCTTGATCTCGGACGCCTACGACACAACGTCGACAACGCCCACCAGTGCGGTGATCGGAAGCTCCACTCTTGGTCTCTACTACTTGGTGGCGTACTCGGTCGTTGCGCTCGGCGCAGTTGCTCTTGCGACGCTTGTCGTCTCGACCGTCTCGCATCACGACGTCACGGGCACCAACTTTTTTGTCTTCAATCGCGTCGCGGGCTCGACGTGGCTCGGGCGTCCGCTGCTTTTACTACGCGGAGGCAGTGCCATCCTACTGCTGAGCTCGGCACCAATCAGCCTCACGCAGCCGTATGGCGTGTTTGTCCAGCTCGCGCTGCCTCGGCACTCAATCTGGGAGACGTCCATCATGGCGTGGGAGGCGACGTGGGTCAGCTACGTTCTCCACGAAGTGGTTTTACCTCTACGATACCAGAATGCTTGCTTTTTGGCGATCCTTGGCACCGCTTTGGCATGGCTGTGCACCGTCATTATCGACGTCGCTTGGCCGTTGACTGTGACAACGAGTGTCGACCGAGAGTGTTCTATCGCGGAAGCGTACTACACGATGCTCTGCGCGAGCGCTGTGGTGCAGACCGGCCATCGTCAGCGACTGCTGCTGTTGAGCGCAGTGCAGTGTCTCGGACTTCCGTGCCTTTGGCTTTTCAATTGGGCGAAGTGCAAGAACCGTCAATCGCCCTCCTTAAAAGATGCCAGACTGCCGTTCGTGGGCCAGGTCTTCCTTGCCTCGCGCCATGACGCTGCAGCGCAACTCGCCTCGGGTCTTATCCCGCTTGGACCGTGGCTCTTCCTTGATTTGAAGCTCTGGCGACTACTCATTACCTCACCGTCGGTCGCAATCATTGGACCATTCGAACCACACGCGGCCGTCTATAGAGACAATCGTTGGGTCCCACGGGTCTGGGTTGTCGTCGGCACGATGTATGTGGCTGCAGCAATCTACAGCAGTGTCTCGTACCTCGGACTCGCCCAAGGGCTCTTGACAAACGACTTGGTCTGGCCCGCCTTCAACATGACGGGGTCGCACAGCTTTCTCGCCAACTGGTTCAACGAGCCGGCGCATGTACTGGGTGCAGACAGCTCGGCGATAGCACTCACCAACCACCAGCAAATCAACGCTCTTGGGCTGTTCAACCTGTCGCAAGCGTCCGTCGCGTTTCCCATCCAACAAGGCGCCAGAGTCCAGTACTCAACCCTAACCACACTCTCGGAT